CTGTAAATTGTTAGTATCCGATTGTTGTCTGCCTTTCTAATGAAAATTCTAAGAAAAAGCACGAGATCAGCGGCAGAGACGACAACGCTCGGACAGCAGTCGGAGAGAGATATTTTTAATAGACTTTCTAGAGCGTTCAAACCAGATTGCTCCTCAATTAGAGTCAAATTCACCAAGCAATCATATACAGTATTCTGTCGTCCAGTCTAGTGACGCGGGAACGTAGGTGACCTCTAAATTGAATTAGATTCTGAATCAGCCATCTCTAAAGAAAGAATATAAGGCAGCAGACAAGCGAGACAAGAATTATCAATTGATTATCAGTAAATAAGTAATGTATTATACAGAAATATTATGAAGCGCATGCTCCTGCGGATAAAATTAAGAATCAAATTATGCAAATTATCAGAAATGAATAAATAAATTGCCAGCAATGATGTAATAAATTGCAGGTACCACCAACGGCACCAGGGTCGCGAACAAACTCTACCCTGAAATGAAACACGTACTAGACCGAACCCCAAACATACGCCATCCTTACCTCACGGTCCTGACACGGTCGCCATAACGAAATTTATGGCGGGAAAATAGAAAGCTTCAATCCATTCAAATAATTTTATTCAGTTAGCCGTGCGTGCCGTGATCTTGAAATCCAAGAACGTATAAACTGCTGTTTAAGTAGCGCAAACGTACCCCGCCAAACTTCGTTCAATGAAGGACCGACGTCGCGTTCGATTCGACATCTCCTTCAAAGTGAAAGCATAGCAGCTAGTTGGATCAATTAAAATCAGTTCATCAGTTTAAGAATATTAGATCAATTCAGATGTATATCAATTAACAATCTATTCTATAATCGCTGAATCAATTATTATAACAATTAACTAAATTCGTTGGTGTACATAAAATTAACTCGGCCCTTCGTTTTTATTTGAAATTCATGTCGTGAAGCCGCTTTGAACTCCTCTGACCCAAAACACCGTCCTAGACAATAAATTGTTCATATCTAATTGTCGGACTAACAGCGTAAGGTCTGAAGGCTTGGCCCCAATGGACGAGTCGGTCAGACAATGGGTGAGAGGTCCCGGGTTCCGGGCGGCTGGTGTAGAGTGGATCTAATGGGCCCAAAGGGTTAAGTAGTCATGGCTGGGAGTAAATGTCGACAGTTGGTAGACCCCAGCTTCGATACGAAGTGAGTTATTCCCTTTTGCAAAGGATCAAGATTCAAGTCCTATTGCCATTTACTACTTCTATCTTAACCCTATAATCGGGTCCAAAGATTGCTTCAAACGTTTTAAAATTAACCACATGGCGAGATTGTTGGGTGGTCGATCTAAAATAACTAACATAAGTTCTAAAATAATATAAATCCTATTGTTGAAACTTTTCCTCGTATTATGGGAATGAATGCAGAGACTTATCCACAGAACAATTTTTCCGTCGATAAAATTGAATTTGAACGAGAATTGCTGGATAAAACTTATTTTACTAGATTAAAATCTTTGAATATTATAACATAGGTAACTAAAATATTTTTCTAGGGAGCACGATTCCCGACGCAGCTCGTTTCATTTCATTCAACAAACATGACACCAGCATACTATAATATGAAACAAAATAATTAAGAAAACAAAGACAGCGAATACAAATTTATTGAAATTAAATTAAATTATTTCTAACAAATGTTATAGCAGAATGGTTTTTCAGCAATTTGGGATGTACTTGTCTATTTCATTTTAAGCTAGTTGCCCCATGTTTTATTTGAAGAAAACTATGCGTAGTTCTGTCAGCAGTAACTCAACCAGTACGCACAAACAGGACATCAGGCACAGTTCGGAACACATGGACCAAACCAAACAGCAAGTACAGTTCGGAACACATGGACCAAACAGCAAGTGCAGTTCGGAACACATGGACCAAACTGCAGGTACAGTTCGGAACACATGGGCCAAACTGCAGGTACAGTTCGGAACACATGGACCAAACAGCAGGTATAATTCGGAACACATGGACCAAACAGCAAGAACAGTTCAGAACACATGGGCCAAACAGCAAGTACATTTCGGAACACACGAACCACGGAACCAAACAGGAAGTGCAGTTTGGAACACATGGACCAAATTGCATGTACAATTCGAAACACATGGACCAACAGCAGGTACAGTTCGGAACACATGGGCCAAACAGAAAGTACAGTTCGGAAGACATGAACCAAACAGCAAGTACAGTGCGGAACACATGGACCAAACGGCAAGTACAGTTCGGAACACATGGACCAAACAGCAAGTACAGTTTGGAACACATGGACCAAACAGCAAGTACAGTTCGGAACACATGGACCCAACAGCAAGTAAAGTGTGGAACAATTTAACCAAACAGCAAATACAGTGCGGAACTGTTCGCACTGTTCGGATCAGAGGATCCAGCCTAAAGGCCCGTTTCCACTACGGGACTGATTCTGAAGGATTGAGATTGGCCTGAGACCAATAAGCCACTTGGCTGGACTTGAAAACTGGCGTGCGCGTTTCCACTACGTGCGTGTGCTGGGATTGGGACTGAGACTGACCGTCTGGGCTACCGCACTCGCTGGCCTTTGAAGATAGATTATGCTGCCGCTTTTGCTTTTACTAGCTGTTGTCACTATGCGCAGGAGGAAACAAAGATCTATTTACCTAATAGCAGTTATGAAACGCAAGAATGGTTTCAAACTTCTCATTAACATAGTTTATCCGTGTAATAACATGCATTCACCAAGGGATTAAGAAACAGCATTATCTTATGATACCTTTAATGTGTCGAGAAAATTAAATGTAATAAATACGTCACAATGTTTAAACATGTCTGGTTTTTGGTCTATAGATTTAGATAGGTATCATAGCGTGCTTCACAAATGCTACTACTTAATGTATTTACTAATGTGTATTATTACTTGTATTACTTAATGTGTTTATTTACTATTTACTGAGTATACATACACTGTAAGAACAATAAGATAATTAAGATTTTTTAATTGACGGACGAGTGAATCTATGTCAATAAACAAATAAAATCGGTCAATGAGAAGTTAGGAAGTATTATTTCCATTTTTCGATGTTCGTGGATGGATATAATTTCTCCATTTCTTTACTTATTTTCTCTAATTCTTAAGATTCTGTCTCTGTAAAAAGAGCTTTTTACTTGCCAGAAGCAAGGTGTCTCTCTATATAAATCGATAAGCCTTTCAGTGACATCTCTGCTCCAGTCTCCGTCGTGCGACATGGTCAGTTAAGCAAAGAGGCAGGCAATGGTGCGTCTATTGGAGAGTCAGCCCAGCACACAACCTCCTTGAACGAAAGTCACAGCGACACTGCCGCTTGCCCGTCACGCAAGTCCAGTAAAAGATTGAACAGCGCTTGACTCCCCGTCACTCAAGTCTCGATGGTCCGGACTGAAAAAGCCAGTTTTTCAATCGTCAGTCTCGCAAAGTCTCAATGGAAACGGGCCTTTATTACCATTTACTAGTTCTATCTTAACCCTATAATCGGGTCCAAACATTGCTTCAAACATTTTAAAATTAAACAAATAGCGAGATTGTTGGGTGGTCGATTTAAAATAGCTAACATAATTTCTAAAATAATATAAATCCTATTATTGACACTTATTCTCGTATGATAGGAATAAATGTCAAGATTTATCCGCAGAACAATTTTTCCATCGATAAAATTGAATTTGAACGGGAATTGCTGGATAAAAGTTATTGTACTAGATTAAAATTTTTGAATACTATACCATATGTAACTAAAATATTTCTCTAGGGAGCACGATTCCCGACGCAGCTCGTTTCATTTCATTCAACAAACATGACACCAGCATACTATGATATGAAACAAAATAATTAAGAAAACAAACAAAGACAGCGAATACAAATTTATTGAAAATTAAATTAAACTACTTTCAACAAATGTTATAGCAGAATGGTTTTTCAGCAATTTGGGATGTACCTGTCTATTTCATTTTAAGCAAGTTGCCCCATGTTTTATTTGAAGAAAACTATGACTAGTTCTGTCAGCGGTAACTCAACCAGTACGCACAAACAGGACATCAGGCACAGTTCGGAACACATGGACCAAACCAAACAGCAAGTACAGCTCGGAACACATGGACCAAAGCAAACAGCAGTACAGTTCGGAAAACATGGACCAAACCAAACAGCAAGTACAGTTCGGAACACATGGACCAAACAGCAAGTGCAGTTCGGAACACATGGACCAAACTGCAGGTACAGTTCGGAACACATGGACCAAACAGCAGGTATAATTCGGAACACATGGACCAAACGGCAAGTACAGTTCGGAACACATGGACCAAACAGCAAGTACAGTTTGGAACACATGGACCAAACAGCAAGAACAGTTCGGAACACATGGACCCAACAGCAAGTAAAGTGTGGAACACTTTAACCAAACAGCAAATACAGTGCGGAACACATGGACCAAACAGAACATACAGTTCGGAACACATGGACCAATCAGCAAGTACAGACGTAGCATATGGAACAAAGCTCAGCGAATGGCTTTGCTAGTAGGGCATTTCGCAACTGACTGTGCAGATCTGCAGACTTGATGTAGATCCGCAGAATTGATGTAGATCTCTAAAATTCATTTAGATGTTTATACTATCAACAGATCACAAGGCTGCATGCAGATCTCTCCCTAAACGACGTTCCCATATGCCACTTTTGTATTGGAAAACTATTTGTAACTCAGACCACATAATTAAATATTTTTAGTTACTTCATTTTACACGAGAAATGTAATGGCTTCATGATTTGTGAGGATCATAAAAAACGCTCAAAAAATAATTTGCACATGCTCAGGGGCAGAGGTGGGCAGTAGCGCGTTACATGTAGAGGTAGCAGTAGCGGCGCTACATTTAAGCAATTGTAGCGGTAGCGGCGCTACATTTAAGCAATTGTAGCGGTAGCGGTAGCGCCCGCTACATTTAGTGTATGTGGCGGTAGCGGTAGCGGCCGCTACATTTCAAAGTAGCGCTGCCAAGCTCTGCTCAGGGGTGATCCTTTCAATAGGACCTTTTATTCTAGATCTGATCAATATTAAAAAAAAACAGTGGCAAGGAAGAAGAATGTGGTAAGAATTCACGAATTTTTGCACTAAAGAATTTATAGTGATCATAAATGCGGAAGTGTGCGTTGCTATTTGTGTATTTTCCTCAGAAGCCTCTCGCAGCCCGTGATGATTGCTGCCAAGCTTAAGCCCAAAACTAGGAAGCAGAATGCAGACATCATCTGCTTGTTGGTCATAGCAGACACGCCCAGGTGTCGACAGTCAGGTTTCGGTATGTTCCAATATCGTTTGATGCGCGGCAATACTCCAGTATTGATGATCTCCAATAAACTGTAAATTTGATACTCAATGAGAGCTTAGATGGCAAGAATGTCAGCAGAACCTACCTATACCAGTTTAGTATACTTAGATTTATATATTGTACGAATACTTCAAAGCAACTTCGTTTCCTAAAAATACTTGACTAATGACTATTCCCTGTCTTTTCAAATAGATAAGTTGAAAATCTGTTATAACTTCACATAATACATGATGATTATGCATTCTGAAAATGATTACTTGACGCTCGTACATCATTCCAATGTTTAAATGAAGAAGCTATTAAATTTATATTACCAGCCTCTACCGTAAACCGTTATATTTTCCCCATCCTTAATTTTCTCGATTTTTATTGAAATGAGCTTAATCATAATCAGTAGTGTGTAACATGTATAAAATAACTCAGTTTATGATTCTCGCTCTATTTCCAGCATGGCTGCTTAGCAGTTAAATTGGTTAACGTTTAGGATTTCCGTTGGTTAATAGCGAGCTAAAATTCGTAAATATACTTGTACTCGTAAATTTTACGCCGTATAATAGTATCTGGGACAAATAAAAAAATCTTTAAAATTCCAAAACATCGAAGAGAGTAGACATCAATAACATCTTATCTATTGTTCCTTCTCCAACTCACGCCTTATTGAAAAGGGGTCCCAAAGCTGATCCCTTTTTGACGGCAAATCCTGAGGGAAACTTGAAAAAACTTCCCGGCAGCACGGTGTAGTCGCACTCATCGTTGCTAGTTCCGTAAAATTCCGTTTCACTTATCAGTAACACGTAATTTTCCTCTCGAGCCTGAAAAAGTATAAACGCTACTGTCAATACTGTGGCCATAAAATCAAAATGCATCGGTTGCTTATGTGCCAGCATTGAATTAGCCGTTGAGTTCTGAAGAACTTCAGAGGTAAATATAATTTATCACATGATAATATTTGCTACAGGGTACACAATAATAATACAAATAAAGATATTATTTAACACGCAACAGATGAATTTTTTTTATTTATTTTTCACATATTGCACAATAAAGGTGCAGTATGTGAAAAACAGTCTCACTTTCCTCAGTCCCTCTGCAGGACTTGTCACAAGACCACGAGGCTTCGCGAGTTCATTCCAGGCTCTGTGAGCAGTTGTGTCGATGTTTTCCTTGGTGGACAGAGAAGATGCATGGTAGAAGAATGTAGAACGGTTGAATTAGTTTCAAGTGAACATTTCAATTCATCTTCATGGTAAATCACGGTAAAGTTTAACATTCTAGACGCTACTTTTTACAGTAGACAGTAAACAGTATGTGACAGTCTTATTTCTAAAAAAACTATTTATATTATAAGTCAAGACTACTGGTAGAAACCCTTACAGACTGAGAAATATAAAACATAACTGAGAGATATAATTATATATAGTATATGCCAAAAAATCTTAGTATGGTTTTCTACTTCGGATGAACAATTCAACCAACTTGTATAATATGAGCTTTCCAGACGTTTCAGACGAGGTTACAGAGTATCAGGATAGTTCTTAACTTTGTTTTTACATTAATTCAATTATATATACCATACCTCCAGTTCAGTCTCCAGAGAAGTTCCCCCTGTGATAACACCCAGCGTGTACCCTCCGTGGTCCAGCAATGACTGGAATCCATCGAAGGGATAGTAAGGTTTATTAAGTGTTAATATTGAGTACAGCGCGCTGTTGTAGTGCGCCGACACCAGCACCGCGCAGCACAAGGTTGTGATCCAGGCCATACGACCGCTGATGGAAGTTGTAGAGCAGTTGCAACCTGAAATTGTGTTATCGAAGTTGAGGATACAATGAATAATAAGTGGAAAATAAGGGAATTTTCTTTGTTCCGTTTAATACATAAATAAATAAGAAAAGTCTTTCGAGTAAGCCAAGCATCCCGTATTAGTTGCTTGTCGAAAAGGAAAAATGAATATATACCGGATTTGAAAACTAGCGAAGTGCAGTTCAATGGAGTTCAAGATTTTTATGATCTATGGAACTTAATTTCGAATTATATTCGCTGTAGCTTAATACTAATGCGCTCGCTTAATTTATGAACAAACTAATTAAGATTTGTCGGATACATTGGTCGTCAGTCACTCGAATGCAATTTATCGCTGCTATGTTTCATAAGAGACTAATTGATTCATAAGCGACTAAAAGTTTCATCAGCAACTAAATCTTTCATCAGCAACTAAATGTTTCATCAGCAACTAAATGTTTCATCAGCAACTAAATGTTTCATCAGCAACTAAATGGTTCATCAGCGACTAAATGGTTCATCAACAACTAAATGTTTCATCAGCAACTAAATGGTTCATCAGCAACTAAATGTTTCATCAGCGACACACCAACAACAGAAACTTGTGACAATATATAACCTCTGGCAGCGAGTGCCGCGATGACGACGCTACAAATCTCCAGGTACGACGGTCGTCTGGTCTCGTCAGGGCTGCAGCACAACAGTGCCGCCAGCGCCACCCAAACCTCGGCGCTAAACTCGCTCGTGTAGTTCGTCCACGCCGCGTCCATATTGTAGGCACGTCTCATCACCATCACGAACCTGAGGTAGATTTTGAACACGATTTGCGCTTATTCCATTTGCTAAGTAAGTGTATTTATTAACACGTTGAGGCGACAGGTGCTTGATCCAAGAGTTTTAGGTGTTCGTATTTAGCTCTATTAGTTACCTCTAGCTATAGTTCGTATTTAGCTCAATTAGTTACCTCTATAGTTCGTATTTAGCTCAATTAGTTACCTATATAATTCGTATTTAGCTCAATTAGTTACCTCTATAGTTCGTATTTAGCTCAATAATGTTACCTCAATAGTTCGTATTTAGCTGAATTAGTTAGCTATATATTTCGTATTTAGCTCAATTAGTTATCTCTATAGTTCGTATTTAGCTCAATTAGTTAGCTATATAGTTCGTATTTAGCTCAATATAAAGTTACCTCTATAGTTCGTATTTGGCACAATTAATTACCTCTATAGTTCGTATTTAGCTCAATATAAAGTTACCTCTATAGTTCGTATTTGGCTCAAGACAGCATAGAAGGTTCGGCAATGACTCAAGATTGATCGACATGCATTGGACACATCATAACCAGATAACAGGCTACAACTTTTATTTTATTCATATCCTTATTTGTTCACACTTTTTTATTTCCCTAGCCACGACAATCCATAAACAACACACACAAAACCCCACCGTGGCGCTCTCCTGTGTGTGTATCTGCAGACAGTGCAGCCAGTAGCAGACAGTTAAAATATAACCTAAACTATCCAAACCTAACCTTGCCAATTGTATAGTATTTTGTGTTGCGTGTAGACTCGGTGATATAGCAATAGAATGAAGTTTGCTTTATCAGAGCTGCTTCAGTTTTAACGTTAGAATATTTATAAGGCTTCTTTGATTTGTAGCATTGCTGGAATAAGGAAACTTTTTTACAGATGTAGGTTGTAAATACGGACATGCAAATAATATGGAGAGTGACGTTACACTATGCAATTTCCTAATTTCATTTCCAAAGAAAATAGTTGAAAATAGTGAGAAATTGTTTAGCTTTTTTTAGTTTTTTTGCATAATAATCTTGCAACTTCTTTTTAGCTCGAAATCGTTTTCCAATCTTTCTTGCTTTTCATTCTGTAAATATCAGCAGTAAATATCAGTATTATAATATAGTATTTACGACTTATCATCAACATGGCCCTGTATACCAACTTGATTTAAAAGTCGTTATAGACAATTTTTTGTCACGCAATTGAATGGAAGTGATTTTCAGTCAAACTAAGTGCCGTCTTCTGGGTTTAAAATATCATCGGGTTATGAAATATTAGTAGGTATTATGCACAGTATTTATTCTTTGTTTTTGCTTAAAGTGTAACTGATGTTGGAATTTATCTGAATGCAGGACCAATATACACATACTCGAAATGTATATATTGTATATGTGTATAATATGTTAGCCGTATTTTCCTTTTGCAGGAGCGTTAGAGGCTAGACACAGCACGCCTTTTAATTGATGCAAGGTTAGGTTAGGTTAGGTTAGGTTTTGAGAACGTTAGATACAAAATTCTTGTCCAATCGTTTTAAGAACTTTTTCATTCATTCGGTATATTTTTCCGCATGTGGGCAATGCAAATTTTTTATACATAATAGTAATAGTAAGAGGGCCGTTGGTGATCAACGGCCTAATATTATCAACGGCCTAATCGTTGATTAGGCCGTTGGACCTGTTGCCGATTCATAACATCGCTGAACATTCACTGCTTGTTGCTGTCTCGAACACGCAAATCACTGCTCCAATTTTGCTGTGCACGCTCGGCCTCATCGCCGATTCTGACCAGAAACTGTTGCTCAGAGCTGCATGGGATCGAACCCGCACCTCACAGCTCCAATATTAGAAGTCTGAACTTTATCAAGTGGGCCACCCTGCATCACCCTTAAAGGTGCTTGCACACAGGCAAAATTTCAGTCGATAGCTTTAGCGGCTAATATTATTCGTATCTATGGTACTTTCCCAGCTATATCCGCCACTGCGTCCTTATAGAAGCCGTAGGTAGAGTCAAGTAGATGGGTGAAAGAACATATGGAGAGTGACAATATCAGTAAGTTTAAGGCGGATTTTGATGAAGCAGTTGATAAAATTGTTGTTACTCTAGCTGAGGAGGTGAAAAATGTTATTAATCACATTAGGTTTGGGTGGAAAACTGGGTAGGAAGGTGGAATAACTTGGGCGCATCATCAACTTTGTTTCGTGAAGGAAAGAAGCGGCGAAGACCGAGCGCCATATATGAAATCCATTTTCGATTGAAGTAGATTTGAGTTTTGTGATAACTGGGAAGCCGTGCATAAAAAAATTATTTTATTGAAGTATAAACTAAAGGCACAAGTAACCATGTTTCTACGAATATATATGTCATATATGTTAAATCGATGAAACATGGTCGCACCAGATAAAAAAACTCCTCCTGAAATACTGCCTTCTGCCTTGTATTCCCAGTCTGAAGGTTAGTCGTGCAAGATACTGACACCACTTCATCAGAAATCTAACATCATTGAGGGCATCAAACCTCGTCACATCGACGGTGATGAGGAAATCGACCACGGCAGCGCGAGCAAGGATGTTGTCCAGGGAGGCCACAATGATGTCGGCTTGACCATCGTCCACCAGCCCGATTATTCCGGACCACGAACCATCGGGCCGCTGAGCACCGAATTCCCGGTCAACGGACGGGGTCACGGAGCAACTGGAAATTATAAAAGGTAATTCAGAACAAAATAATTGTTTCAGGAATATTTACAGGCTCACCGAGAGCGTAAGTATGTTAAAATCACAGGCTTTCCTACATGATAAATGAAGAATAATGCAATTTGGGAAATTAAATGGAAACAATTACTAATGAAGTTAAAACTCATTTTATTTATTATAAAATAACATTAGGTTAACCCAATGTTTCCCAGGAGATTGTGTTTGAAAATTAATAGATTTTCTAGATAATTTAACTCGGTCTGTTCGATCGTTAGTGTAACTCTAAACAAGATGTATAAAAATGCATGTCAACAATGATTCGTTGTACATTTGTTGTGATACGTAGGCTAATGCATCAAGAAACTTTTGTAAATTTATACAAATATCATGCATACCCAGCTAGAGAGAGTAGCGACAGTTACAATACAATATATTTTATAATTCAAGATTATTTTTCGGTATTGTTCTAGACGAACAGCTGCTGCCGTAAGGCTGCTGAAAAATTTCGAATTTATATTCCATCAAAAACAAGATTTTTAACTCATACCGAACTATATATCATCTATGTTCAGTCGCTCTACGAGATGAATCATAGAAGTTTGTGAAACATTAGACAATATTAAACTCCGATCGCCTCAAACTCCAATTATTTATTTAATTAAAAAAGTATATAAAATAAAAAATGTATTAAAAAGTGGTAATTAAAAGTGTATAATATAATTCACTAATCATCGTCAACATATCGTTCTCAAAATTTATTAATCCTGCAAATGTCCTGGTAAAAGCTAAAGGCATTTCTATGTCGGAAACGGTACACAAAATAATTATTTCCAATGAGAGTCACGAAATCCAGAATTATTGCCAGATTATTTCATTGTGAAGTGGACACTTCGGTTCTCACGTGAAGTTCATGTTCTTCTCGAGCGTATTAAGCAGGTCGATGATCCAGCCCACGATGTGCCATCCTCCAGTGGCACGTCGCATGATGGAAATGCCAGGCATTTGCTGAGAAAATGATTAGCCTCAATTATGCATTGAAATGACATTTAAGGTTCCATCATAAGTATCTCGTAGCGTTCGATTGCATATTTAATCTGTTCTAAACGTAGAACAGCCACGTTGGTGCTTGAAAAAATGTAGGAAGGAACTTCCAACATTTTCCTAAAGATGGAACAACTTCTATTATCACAGGAACGCGGAAAAAATGCTTAATATAATGCTGAAATTATCTCACTTAAACTGAAAATTAAGTTAGTTGAATTAAGAGATTCCTCATCAGAAAATTTAAATATTAATGGATGAAATGGCGCTTTTATAAACCTAGGATGCAATCTAAGTAGAAAATTTTATGTAAAGAAGATCAATGGTGAAATTAGAAATGGTGAATCGTTGTAAAACGATCGAGCTGTATAAATTTTTAAAATTTTCTCGTGATATTAGAGTAATGAATGTTTAATTATGCATATAAAAGGCATCTACTTTCAAGGGGTTATTGATTATTGTTAGAGGACCTCTTCCGTAACGCATCTCAGGCGAGCGCCCAGCAGATCCAGTCGCCGGTGTAACCAGTTGTCATGGATCCGACCAAACCCATTAGTGGGAGTCTGAAATACAATTATTGCGAATTTAGTCTTGCAACCCTCGATCACTGAAAAAATATAACTCAGTACTCACTGTAGTGAGTGACAGAGAGTGCATTTTCTCGTTGACGAAAACTTGAAGTCACGGACGGACGGACATGACGAGCACAATAGGGCATTTTTTCCATAAATGAGAAAATGCGCTAAAAAGGAGAAAAGTAAAAGGAACTAATAGCGTCATTGCAGTCTTGGGCGCCGATTATGCGAGCTAAAGTTCAGGATGAAGGGAATAGGGTATTTATTTGTGATGCGGCAGCTTGTAAGCGTGAATATTTCAGTACGTCCGCGTTCTGTCGTGAGAATTTAAGGTATCGTTAATAAATTACTTTGTTTCAAGTTCATCACAATAAGGCTTCATTGCATGACGAAGACAGTTAATCAATCATCAGCGGGCTAATTTTTTTAGTCAACAGAACTTTATTGATCATTTACGAGTTTTATTTGGACAATACAATAATTCGAACTTAGGGTTTATTGCTTTCCGTGGAACTGGCCTCAGTGCATAACATACATTCCCATGTGAATGTTATACTATGGGGACTAATGTCCCGTGATTGCGGGACAATTTTTAAAAAGTAATTTGTAGTTGAACAATAAATTTGCAAAAATCTTATTTTGAGCTAGTCCATGCATGGATTATATTTGCAATGGCAAAGTGATTAACGCTTATTTTTGGTTAAGAAAATTGATCACTCACCCACTTCGTGATCTGAGTGACTCTGACAGGAGTCTCGCTCGTGACAGAGTAGGTCTCCCAGAGCTCCGCCGTAAAGCCTTCATGCGAGTGTCCGGGTTTCTCTTCAACAGCCCCTTGAACTTTTATTTCCGCCTCCACATCTGCTTGACGAATCAGTAAACTTATATCATAATGGTTATCAGTTCACATTTCAAACAATTTCTTACAAGTTAACATGCAAAATTCTTTTTATATATGATGGTCTCATATTTTTTACGTAATAGCTACATATTGATAAATATTCTGACGCCTATCTTAGAATAACATTTGCGTAATCCATGCAATGGTTTCAGGTACGGTTATTTATAATCATAAATACAACTTTTTTACCCTCTGATAAAAAGTAAAGCTGTGAAGGAAATGAACAAATCAACACCTACATCACCTTTAATTATTGATCATTGTTGGAATACGACTAAGAAATACGATAGAATTCGTCAACAACATCGTGAACTTTCATCTGGTCGAAATTGTTCTGTTTTAAACTATTCCTAGCGGTAATTTGATTAACATACTGTTTTTGAAGAAAGAAAAATGAGTTAAAAATAGGTTCATATATATACAATATTCCCAGATATGCACAAACTAGTCGTTTAATCCATTCAAAACTCACTGAAATTATAAATTCTCAAGTTACAGAAAAAAATTCAATGATCGTCGAAAGTTTTTCAAGTTCGTTACCGTTAACTGTTCCTCCTGCTCCACGGCTGAAGCTTTGAGTGGATCCTTCATCACTAATATCCGCCATCGCTGTGTTATAATCAGACTCGCTGAATCTGACAAACACAACCTGAAAAAATATATGCCAAATTAAAAACTTTTGTGAACGACAACAAAAATAAAAAAAATCCTAAATATATAGCTGTGGAGATTCAAAGCAATACGTACCTAGTCAAAGTCTCATGCAAGGTTTCGTATATATTTTTCAAAATTATAATTTTGTCCTTAAAAAACAAAAAATCTTAAAATTTATTTTCCGTGTGTTTCGCAAATTTGCCTTACGTTCGAGGATGTCGTTTACTGATTTTACGTGGATACCGATACTACACCGATGTCGAATCTGCTCAAATATATGTATTGTACAAATATATATACATTGTTTGACTTATCTATACATCGCACTTGATTATTTATGGGGAGTCGCATGTTGCTAAATTCCCCCGTATGATTTCCGCCTATCACCAGCCAGTGAAGCTCTGGATACTGGAAATAAAAAAAAAAAAAACTTTAGATAGCGAACAATTCATAACCTTTTGTTTGACATCTAATGAGGTAATTAGAATGTTTTCTTTGGATGTAGTGAAAATTTCCTTAGAGACTCCAGCAAATAGGAAACAGCGAGATAATCTGGAATTTCTTGATTCCAAGAAATGAAAGTGAAACGACCTTCAGATTTTTATTAGAGACCCTATCGAAAAAAATATTTTAACGAGATCCACCACGTGCACTTACGCACAAAAGATCAAGCTCTCATCACAATTCATTACAAGATCAAGCTGTCATCACAACTCATCACACTCTGCTGTTACCAGGTGCACTGCAGCAAGTGTGGAGTGGTGCAGGTGCAGGAACAGACATGGCTCATGAGGCAACTGCTTCTTCTCGAGCTGCAGGGAGCTGGTCACGTCGCCCATGTCGCCCACCACCGACGTGTAAAGGTTCATCGAAAAAATGCGTCTCAAAAATGCACCTGAAGGAGAGATGATACTAGAGATGATCCCTGATCGACCTCCCCTGCACCACTACCAGCGGCGAGAAGCAAGCAACAGCATCGTGCATCAGGTGGCCCAAATGAGGGCGGATGAACGATAATCAGAGGCGGCGATCCATCGTGGTCTGTTACTGTAGCCATGAGATTCTGAGATGTCAATGGATAAAAAGTTATTAAACACTTGGCTCGGATAATTCATTCGTTAAGTGAACCCAATGGGAATATCTACTTAATTTTGACACATGGCTTTTGGAATATTACGAGCCATGGTATTGGACTGCTACGTCCCAAACATATGCTGAGGATACTAAGGGTAATACATTCTATGAAAAACGCCGCGCTGCACATTCGATTAAAATGAGAATTTGTTAATAAACAGTTTCTCGTTTGCTCATCAATAAATCGAACGGTGTTTTTACACTGGGGTTGGTACATCGAAAAGCAGGTATACAAAAAAACATTTGACTATATTGTTTACCTTTCGAATAAACATTATTCATTAAAACTGTAAAACTTCCGACGCATAAAATTGAGGTTTTGGAACGACGTAGGAACAAACAAAGAAGACAAAGTGCGAACATTTTATACAAAAATATATGTCACAAATTATTTATAAAGAAATATGCAAAGTTGTATTAAAAAAGTGAAAGAAAACACCATACACTGTACAGTATACATACACTATACATTCAAGAAGTTTCAGTACTTGTAATGTAGCGCATAATTTCTCCATTTCACAAACATGCTTAAAGCCAAAAAAATATACTTAATGATTTCATATCGACAGTCAACCCGGCCGTTACTGTTATGTTAATTTATCGGCCAAATTTGTGTACTGATGAAGGAATTTTTTTTTCTTTTTATAGTAGCCAACAAAACTTATACAGACAATAAATTCTGAAGTATTTTATAGTATCGGGTAGACATCAAATGCTAACCACCATCTAACATTTTTCTTATTAACAATCAAAAAGTAAGCTTTATATATATCTCAATTAAGCTAAAGCTTTGTTCAAAACGCCGGAAAACACGTAATGATAATTAAAAAAATAATAATATTAGCGTATCTCATGGAACTATAAATGCTAATTAAGTTGAGGTAATTACCGAGACATTTACCCTCCACGATGACTACAATACGTGAAAAATGATGAATAACGACGTATTGCCTGATCATTAATTCCAGCTCAACGCTGCCCGGGAGTCCAGCTGAACGTGGAGCGCAGTGCGCTGAGGCGTCAAGTGTAGGAGCTGAAACATTGATCTGCTGGATGGAGTCAGCTGGAAGCAGCGCCAGGATAATAATAATAATGAACGTGTAGTTTTGCATGCTAATTGTCTTAATGGGCACTCAAAATTAACGTATAAAATCTTATTGATTTATTTTACTTAAGTAATATAATAAATACCAGCAGATGGAGCTGTAAAGGAAGAACAGAAATTTCCTGAGACAGAAAGAAATATTGTGAGCTATCCTTATACCGGCGCCTATTATACTATTAGAAACACTCTAAAAAGTAAAAGTTTAAATTATTTGATACAAAATTTTCATAATTGCTTTGATATTCCTTAAATTTATAATTATATTGAATAAAATGAATTTACTCATGTCTACATGTGTGGTGTTTCAAATTTTCATTACTCTTCACACAGGTGAAGATTTCATCATTCAATGTGAATTTTCAGCGTAGAATGAAACCGCATTTAAATTGACATCTCTACCATGCTATTTTTTAAAATAATTCTTATAAATACATGACTTTAACCACCAAGTAGCGGTAACCATCACCAGCAGCCAACTGAGGTACTCATGCAAAAGTCGTCTGAGGTGCAAAGCAACAATTGCTGGCCATATAGAATGCGTTTATTATTGCCTTATTCCGACCCAGGTGCGTTA